ACCCATTCCAAGGTCGAGATTGGGTTCGGCTCTCTCGGCCCTCGGCGCTTCCCGGCCCGGGCTTTCTCCGTCTGCGTCTCGAATCGTTGGCTTGCTTGTGACTTTGACTCGAAAGATTCGCCGAGGTCCGTCCTGGGCTTCGTGAGCTCCGAGTCTCCGCTGTTGGCACGCAGTCTCGCCAGGTAGTGATGGGAGAAGGGCAGATGAGGGATCTTAACAGTAGCACATTTCCGGTCGCTAGGTTGGAGACAGCTCCGATGGCGCTGGACTTGGTTCAGGCCGGGTCCTCAGAATAGCGCGAGAGCAGCAAGAGTCATCTGTTAGTTGGGCGGTGGGGCCATGGGAAGGGAATCTGGAAACAGGTCGGCCTATCAATGATGCTCCGCGGATCCAGCAGTCCGGGTACAACTGCTCTAGCTATCGCCGGTGCACGAACGGATGCATTTCTACTTGCCTTGGATTTTTTGCACTCAGGGTCCTTGCTCTTCATGCGGCGGTCTGGGTGTCTAGAGCCTTCTTTCTCGGTGCCAAGCGTGATGCGTGCTGATTTGCCAGTACTACTATTTGGCACATTCATCACAGGAGCATTGGCCTCACTGCGACAGCTCGCTTGCCTTGGACTGGCCTTGGTTGCCCCTGGTGTTGCTAGATCGAGTGCATCTGCTTCGACCCTTGGTTCTGTGAGCATGGGGAGCCTGTTGCCACTTCGTAGTTTCGTGTGATCGGGCGCAGCTGCTTTAAGCCTCGATTTCTCACAGCCAGGGCCAATTCCGATGTTGCGTGGCGCAGCATGACTGGGTCCCTTCTTGTTTGCTGGGCGATTTCGACTTGGCCTCGTCCTGCCAGCGTTGGATTCCGCACATGGCTGCACGGCGTCTGCAAGGAGCTTCTTCCGATGTGATTTTGCGATAGCGGCTCTGGACTTGTCCTCCTTCGGGTCATGTACATCTCCTCGGATATGTGCTTGCCTTGGCATCTTTCTGCCCATTTGGGGAGCGGCTTCGATGGGTCCCTTCCCTCCGGTCCCTGACTCTGTCAATCCCGGCAGCACGCCGCTCATGCGAACGCTCGGCCACTTGGAGCTCCTTCCACCTCTGTCGGACCCTGCACATGCAGAGGTCACGCTCTCGCTGCGGGCTTCCACGCGGCCGGAAGCTGTAGCTCCAACATGCAATTGCTGCCACTCGGGCGTGCTTCTGCTTCTACGAAGCTACGCGAAGTCAGGTTTTTCCGCCTTGACTTCGGACTTGTGTGAGGTTGGTTCTGCGACGCCTGTGCGAAGTTTCCTGCAACCAGATTCCGGCACCTCAGCCTCAGACGCAGCCTTCATCGAATTTACACTGTCATTGCGGAGCTTCCAGCATGCCGGCTTAGCCATTCCAATGGCAGATGTGGCGCAGGCCGGACTTTCTTCAGCAGTGCGAGCGCCCGCAAGGACAGAGGCTTTCCTGTTCACCTTTGGACTTCACAGGCTGGAGCTGAGCATGGCCGTGTGCGACTTGTGTTTGATTGGCTCTTCATCATTTATCCGGCGCTTGGCTTGCTCGGGGTTTCGAACTTTGATCCAGGATCGCACAGAAACAGGCATGTCCATGCCTGCCTCTGATTCTAGCGACCTTCCTTTGCTGCCGCTTCGGTGTTTTTCGCGAGCGGGCTCACCAATACTTGCCCCCGGTTTCAGCACGCCCGGCCCTTTGCCTTCTGCACTCGACTCTCTGCACTTGGGCTCCTTCATGTCCCTGAAGAACATGGCTCATTTCGGCTTGGCGCTTTCGCTTTCGGACTCTGCAACTCTGGGAGCTTCACCATCAACGCAATGCCCTTTCCGCTTCGACCTTCTCACATCATTGACGGGCATGTTTGTACAGAAAGATGGTGTTTGGAATGTGGGTGACTCTCTTCTCGTGACGAGTTCCGCCTGCCTAGACCCTGGACTTCCAGTGCCTTGCTTTGCACGGTCTGGTTCGACGCTTCTAGTGTCAGACAACACGCTTTCTGGGCTGTTGCCGTTCATGCACAGCTTCTGCAAATTTGCATCCAGCTTGCTGATTATGGGCCATTCTCGACCTGAAGTGTCGGCCGTTTTGCTTGATCCTGCGACTGCCGGTCCTTTCGTTCCAGTGCGCCAGCTTGCTCGCGTGGATTCGGCTTTGCCCCCGATGGGTATCGTGCGCATGGACTTTCCAATCCTCCTGCTAGACCATGCGCTAGCGGGATTCTTGCTTCCTGTGCAGCAGCTTGGATGCCTTGGGCTCTCAGTCTTCGCCTGCAGTTTTGCCCGCGCTGGCCTTCCGTCGTCGTTCCTGGAATGGTCTCTCTTGGAGCTGCCCCCACTTGCCCGGAACTTTGCCTGCTCAGGCTTGCCATCACCGACTCTGCAGGTTTTGCTGCTGGGCCTGCCAATGTTCTCGCGATCCCGGGCACAGCCGGAACCGTCGCCCTCCACCAGCACCATCACCAGAATTGAGCCAAAGTTGCCACTGCTTGACCATACGGACACTGATGCACCTCCGCCTGCCAGAAGTCTCAGTCGATTGGACAGCCCCTTGTCAGCTTCAGGGCATTCGCGTACGGGGACATCGCATCCGGCTCTGGACCTTTTGCACCTTGACTCCTCGCCATCTCCGCAAAGAGCTGCACGGCCGGACCCGTACATGCCAATCTTCGGCCGTGCGCGTTCGGGTTCCATTGCTTCGCCTTGCGACCGAGGCTGCCTGGCCACCTCCATGTTCTTGCGTAGCGCTTCCAAGTCAGACGCGGCTGCTCCATCAGTGGAGATGGTTGCCTTGGAGACGTCTGCGTCTGCGAAGACCTCTGCAAAGTTTGGTTTAGCCACCTTGGTGGTGTTTCGGGCACGGTGTGGCACATTTCTGACAACTCTGGATGTGGTCCAGCTGGAATTCCTTCTATCACTGCATAGCTTCGCTTGCCCAGCCTTCTGCTCTTTTGTCATGGACTTTGCGGAATTGGATGCTCCAGTATCTGCGCGGGCCCATACCCGGCCAGCCTCCCCCACGATGACCATCGGAATGGTTTGCACGGGCCTTTCGTTTCCTCTACCTGACCTCGTCCCTCTGAGCGCTTCCATGCCGGTGCATGGCCTCGTGTGTTCAGATCTGGCTCTTCCTGTGCCAGACCCTGTAAGTTCCGAGCCTGCAGTGTTGGTGCGTCAAACAGGCCGGCGTAGCTCATCACTGCCTGCGTCTTGTGCAGCCCGTTTGGCCGTCTCCGCTTCCATACTGGACTTCTTAGGAACGGAGCCTTTTTCGTCTCTGCAGAACCATGCTTGGCCGGAGCTGCGACTGTCGTTGATGAGCTGGCTAGCTGTGGGACCGGCATCCTCATCAAGGCCGGCATTGCATCCAGGCTCTTTCTTTCCAGCCTACACCTCTATGCAACCCGGCGAGTTACTGCTGGTGCTCGACTATGCTTTCTTAGGCAGCTTGATGTCGGTTCGCTCTTTTGCCAAACTCGGATTGGCTCCTCTGCTGTTGGATACCGCCCAGACAGGACTGCTGCCACCGGTGCGGAATAAGTTGCAACCAGGGTTTATTTCATCGGCTGCTGGCAGAATGTGTTCTGATGCTGCGATGTCTGCATTCCTTTTTCCAGAGACGGGCTTGTTGCTGTTTGTCCGTCAATTCTTTCGGCCAGATTTCTCCATGCCGGCAATGGGTCGTCGACTTCGTTCCTTGATGCCAGCGCTTGATTTGTCTTTCTTCGGATCTGCGATGTTTCTTCAAAATGCTCTTTGCGCTGGCTTCTCTCCACCCTTGCCAGGCTGCGGTCGTTTGGACAATGCCGTGTCAGCTTTAGACAATGTGTGCTTTGAGAGTCTTTCATCCTTCCACAGCTCTGTCTACTTCGAAGTCCTGACATTTCTTTCTGATTCGGTTAGCATTGGATCGCCCCTGCTGGTAAGGCAGCTTGCACATGCAGGTGGCACTTGGGCTCAGGGGCTTACTCGGCCGTGCTTCTTGCCTTCGATTATCGATTTTGGTACAACTGGCCCACTGCTGTCAGCGCGACAGTTCACACGTGTTTCTGGTGCCCAGTCCGCCCTGAGCCAGGCAAGGCTGGGCTCTTCCCTGCCTGCACTGGATCCTGCACTACTTAGCAGTTCCTTCTTTATCAGGGGAATGATGAACTTATTCAACTACCTATCCATCTACAACCATGGAATTCGGTGCAAAGGGGTGACGCCCGACAGCAGCCTGTCTGTTCGTAGCATGTTCATCTTCGGGCCCTCTTTCTCCATATGTAATGCGCTCCGGGCAGGCGAGTTGATGCCAGCCATGGACTCTCTTCATATTGGAAGCGTCATGCCATTGCAGTCACCCGCTTGAACTGGCCCAAAGCTGTCAGTCTCGGACCCTTTAAACTCAGCGCCATCATTGTTTTTGCACAGCTGTTCGTGTTCCGGGTCCGCTACACCCGCATCGGGATCCGGCTCTCCAGGTCCATTCATGCCTGTTCGCTGCTTTGCCTGCCAGGACTCACCATCTCCCGTGTTTGGATTTCGTCTCGACTTATCACTTGTGATTCTTGACTCTTCCAGCACGGAGCTTTCGTCGCTCTCACGTGCCTCATCGCAACTTGAAGTGCCGGTCCTCGTGCCTGAGATGTCGTCCTCGGGAAGCTTTTCAGCGTTGCAGTGCTTTGCATGACCTGGTGCTCTCGTGGCAACCGCTAGCGTCTTGAAGTGCGGCTCTGCAACAATCGCATTGGACTTCGCCAAATCGGAGCCATTGCCGTTGACGAAGAATTCTGCTTGAAGCGGCCCGCTTCTGTCCTTGCTGGGCCTGCGTTCCGGTGCAGCCTCGCCTGCCCCAGACCTCCTGCATTCAGAGGCCGCTTCGTTTTTGCGAAGCTTTGCATATCCGGAGCTTTCCCTTCCTGCCTTTCACGCCTGTCGCCTCGACCCGCTTCTGCTGTTGCAGGCGTCCTCTTAGGTTGGGTCGCTGCTGCTGGTGCCCGGGGTTTCGAGACTTGGCAGCTTGATGGTTGTGGCCGGCTTCGGCAACTTGGATGTGCCTTCACCGGCAAAAACGCCCATGCATCCCGAGCTCCTCATGTCGACTGTGGGCGTGGCTTGTCAGAGTGCACTTTCAATCCTCGACTTCTTGCATCCGGAGTTCTCCTTGCTTCCTCGCAGTCTTGCTTGCACAGGCTTCGAGCCACCTGCAACCAGCTTGGCACAAGCAGGTGCCCCGTTGCCTCTGCGGAGACCCTCCCAAGCAGATGCTCCTCCGGTTCTTTGCGGGTTGTTGCGCCTTGATCAGTCTTTGGTGGCGCTGAGCCTTGGATCTTCGGAAAGCTCGCCATCCTCAAAAAGCTTGGTTTGGTTTAACTTGCCGGCCTCAATCCTCGGAGGCATTTGCTTGGGAGCTCCGCTGTTGACATGTGATAGCTGGGCCACTGGTCCATCCTTGCCAGTGCGAAGCCTCCTACACTCGGGACAGTTCCTAGAGCTCGAGAAGCTGAAGAGGTGGAGTATCATCTCCCTGGAGCTCTCGGACTTCTACCGTGGGGATGCGCCGCTGCCTCTTCGAAATCTTGCCCGAGCCGGCTCTGCCTTGCCGTTTGCCGGAAGTGGGAGGCCGGATCTGTTCACTTCCACACCGAATTTTGCAGAATTTGGCGCTTTTCCGACACTTCGAAGCTCCGCTCGCTCCGAGCTGGCCTCGTCCATCGGAGGCTTGCATCGCTCGGGACCGAGTTTGTCGGTGTCAGATCTCCTGCACTTGGGGTCCATGCTCCCTCCTCGAAGCCGCGCTCGTCTGGGCCCGGCAGCAGCGATTTGGAATTTTGGGGCACTTGGCAGTCTGCCACCGTCACGGGGCTGCATGTGGACTGGGAGCTTCACGCTGGCGCTCCGAACTCTTCGTCTGGGCCTCCAACCTTCGGTGCTGGAACCCGCTGCAACGGGCTCAGCCTTACTCTTGAGAGACTCCTCTCGACCCGAGGCGTCCCTGCTCGTTTCTGCTTCCTCGCAAGCCGAAATCTCCTTGCTCTTGCGCAGCTTGGCCTGTCTTGATGTGATCGCATCGATGTTGCAGTCTTTCAGATTTGATTTCAGCATGATGGTGATGGATTTCCTACACTTGGGAGCACCAGCTTTGCTGCAAAGCCTCTGTAAACTGGAGCCTGTGCCGTTCGTTTCGGACACTGCTGGCATGGGACTTCCACCTCCTTCGAAGCATTTCGCCAGAATGGATCTGCTCTTATCACCGCCCTCGTGTGCAAGGACGGGTCTTTCTCTGGCTGTGCCGGATGCCTTCGAGTTTGGCCTTGCTTTACTCTTGCGGTCCACGGCCCACCCGGGCCTCTGTCTCTTCCTCTGCAGATCGTCTCAACCGGAGCCGCTTCCACTTGTTTCGGACTTCAGCTTCTTCGGGCCACCGCTGCTCTTGCAAAGCCCGGGTTGGTCGGAGCCGGCGACGCTTCCATGCTGGGTGAGCCGTCTTGGGTCTTCCATCCCAGTGTTGGATTCTTTGCATCTAGCGAGCTTCCTGTCCCTGCGAAGTTCTCTGAAAGCAGGGCATGCGCTCTCCCTGGACGTGAAACGGGTGGACTTAGGGGTTTTTGTCTTGGGAAACAAAGCTCTTGGCCCAGCTCCTTCGACCCGAGGCCTTGCTCGGCTTGGCTTGCTCTTGCCTGCCTGCGGTATGAGCTGTCTCGAGAGTTTCCTTTCGGTCGCTGACTTCCTGCAGCCCGGACCTGCACCTTCTCCGAGATCCGCCGCTCGGACGGACTTCGCTCCGTCAGCCTCGGATGTCTTTCTGGGCAGCTCGCCGATCCTTCAGAGCTTCGCCTATTTGGACACCCCAGCTTTGCCGGTAAGGACAGCAAGTTCAGGCTTCAGCCTCTCAGTGTCGGACTCTGTCACTGTCGGCTCGCCTCTTCTTTTGCGGCAGTCTGCCTGACTGGAGCTGTCGCCGCTTCTTCTGCACGCAGGTGTTCTGGGGTTCACACCTACTGTTTTCGATGCCGCAAGGATGGGCCCCCTGCCACTGCTGCGATCATCCATGCAAACGGAAGCCTTCCCATCGCTTGTTTCCGCTTCAAGACTGGAGGTATGCTTGTTTGCTTTGGGCTTTTCCCATTCCGACCTTCCCATGTCTGCACAGACTCTCGCCCGTACCAGCCCTACTGCTCCTGCGTGTGGAAGGGCATGCCCTGGTTCGTCTTTGCCTGCAACAGGTCTGGCGCAGCTTGACAGCCTTCTGTCAGTACGTTGTGTTGGGTGGCCAGGATTGGCCCCGACGTCATTCGGGTGCGGATGTTTCGATCCGTTGTTGATGGTGCCAGATCTTTTGCACCTAGGCTTGTCTCTGTCTTTACGCCAGCTCTCCTGCACCGATTTCACGTTCATAGCACATGGATCAGCGAGATCGGACACCGGCACATCCGTTCCGGACTGTGCATGTCCTGGTCTACCGCTGCCTCTCAGGGGTGCCAGCTGCATTGGCTCTGCCCTGTTTCTCTTCCATTTCGCACGATCGGGCGCTCCTGTGCCAATCCCTGATGGCCATTCTACGGGGTCAACTCTGGCACTTGGACAGCAAAGAGTATAGGAGTGGGCGGTGGCTTCAGCCCTGACATTCCCACGATGTCACTGTGCATCCCAGGCACCACAAACGTTCTCCTGACCAGTGCCGACTTCATCACTATCCGGCCTGAGCTTCAGAATTCCAACGGGAAAAAATTGGCACGATGCGATAAGGCTAGGAGCCGAAGTTTGCGCTGCCAGGTACGGCCTGCATCAGTTCCACGTTGTCTGTGGCAGCCTGAGAGCGTGAAGGCGATACTGTGCAGCCGGAGCTTTTGGACGCTTGCCACAGGCTCCGGATGCCTGGAGTCCTGGCTTGCCACTGCCTGTCCTCGGCCAAGAGAAATTTGTGTGAGCTTCCAGAGTTTTTTTGGAAGCGCTCTGGATCCAAGGCTCGTTCAGCGCAGCGTTTGGCAGCCTCGATGTCCACCTGCGGAGTCGGTCGTGTAGGTAGTTCCTTACCTGTGCGCGGCACTTGGATGTGCTCTGACAGCTGAAGGTGTTCTGAGAATAGAGTTTTTCCAGGTTGAGTTTCGTGCACTTGGGGCCATCGACAGCCGCACGCTCTCCTGCCTGCTTCGCTTCCTCTTTATCCACCTTCTTCCCGGCCAAGAGCCCAGGGTGTTTCTAACTTGAGTTTCAAATGTTCCGATGAGCAATTTGCATGTGCCGAGGGAAGGTATCTCGGGTTCATTCCCCGGTCTCCATTTTCTGCACGAGCCACTGGGCTGCAAGAATCCAGCTGTGTTGAGCCTGTGAATGTGAAGCTCAAGACCTTCCTCCTCTTCTAGGCATTTGCCTGGACGGGTGCAAGCTCGACGTTGATGTCAACCGCGCGTTTTGGCACTTCCATGTCAGCGTCGGATCTTCTAGGTGCCTTGCAAAACGGGATTCTTGGCTCGAGGCCAGCATTAGTTTGGGTGCAGCTGCGGCAGGTTCGGACTCATCACTCTTGGTGCAGAGTCTTTCGAGATCAAGCTCTGCATCAGCTGCTGGCAGCTGAGTGAAGTCTCAGCATGTGGTTGGGCCCGGCAGTGAAGCACCCAAGGTGTTCTCGGCTTCATGCTTGGGCAGTTCGTTATCCTCGCGAGGCAGTTGGCAGTGTCAGGAGCATGACAAAGTTTTGCAGGGCTCGATAGCTGTGGATGTTGTTGCTATGCTGGCATCCAACATGTTTAGGTGCAGCACATGCTGGCAGCGACCTTAGCCATTCTGTCACTCCTTTGCTACAGTATCGAGGAATCCACGCAGCATCTGGAACGAGACATGCTCAGCACAGGTTCGCCACCGTCGCTTTCTGGACTTGTCCGGCTGAGCAGCCCCATGTTCGTTCGTGACAGCGTGTGCCTGGAGCCCGGCCAATGAGCAAATCGCAAGGATGCAATCCGGAAGCTTGTTTGGGTGTGGGGATAAGAACAGAGGCTTTTCGTCCGACAGTCTAGTTGACTAGTTCAAACCAGAGGGACGGGCCTCAGCTGCAATTGTAGCTTCTTCGAGTGGAACGAAGCATAAGCTGCTGCGCCCGAGTCATTTGAGTGTTGTACTGGAGCTGTACTCAACAGTCTTATGCTTCCGCCCCAAAGACTGCACCAAACCCCGGGTCAAGCTTGGGACAGCACCACGGCCACTGGCATTGCATGAATTCTTAGATTAGAAGCTTGGTCAAGGTATCGCTCCCTCAGCGCAGTTGCAGCTCCCTGTGTGGACAATCAGCTGGGCTCCCACCTTAGCCATCATGAATTCAGGCACAATTGACTTCACGCCCGATACTGTTTCCTCGTACTTCAGACCTGATGTGCGGCATCAGATGCTGCAGTTTGGACGCTTTTTTCGCAGCGTTCAAGCCAAGGACACTGGGACGAGTGAGCTCCAGTTCAAGACCGGCTCCACGAAGGACGGCCGTCTGATTCTGACAGAGATCGAAACGCCGGTCTGTCAGTCTGTCATGCGAGGTCATGGCGGTCAGTGCGTCGGGAGGCAGGTCGCAGAGTTTCGCAGAGTTGCAGTGAAGGAGGTGTACACTGTGATGCATCGAAGAGGCAGCTTGCACGGGACCTGGGCCTCCGAGAGCATCATCAGCGCCTCCGACAGCCGCCTGAAACGAGAGGCGGCTTTCTGCTTTTGCTCTCTGCTTGCAGGGAAACAGAGCTAGGATGTGGCTCAGGTCCTGCCGCTCTACCGATCGCTCCTTGAGAAGAGAGAGCAGTCAGCAGGCGAAGGCGAGCAAAGCAGGGTCACTGTCTGTCTCTACGCTACTTGCAACAGAAAGCGCGAGGTGCAGGTGGCGAGGAGCGTCAGGACATCAGCGCTTCCAGCCTTCTGCGCCGGGCAGACAGTCGATGCAAGACAGCCTTCAACGTGAGTCAAAGCATCACCCGGTGGTGGCCAGCCCTTTTGGAGTGCCTGCTGTACCGTTGTGTCGAGTCGCGAGCCCCATCGTCTGAGGTCTCCTGGTCCCCGACGGGCTTGATTCTCGGTTTCAGCCCTGCGAAATGTGCGCGCAAGTGCGGGCCAGCAGAGAGCAGTTGAGGTCCTCCGACCCCTTGAACTTGAAGCTGGAGGTTGCTGGGGCACTAGCAAGTTCAAAGAAACCGTTCGGATGAGCTCGCAGGCTACTGACGAGTCACTTCGTTCCCTTCCGGGTGTGGTGCGCCAGATGCCCAACCAGGCACTGGCGCTGTTGAAGGCTGTTTGCCGGGTGCCACCATCTGCCAGCCACTGCAACTATTCAGGGTGGGCGTTTGGGCATTTCCCATCAAGATCTCCTGGCAGCGAGGGACCGAGAAATGCGAGTTTGCTTCGGCAGTATCGGTGCTTCAGATCTTCCTGCAGCCTGCCCTTCTGAGGTCATCACCCTTGCGGCCAAGGATTCGCCGAATCGCGCGCAGCTTTGGCCGTTTCCTGTTTGATCCCCGAGCCTCTGAAGGAGCGAGAGAGGCGCCTGGAGGCCTTGGAGGCGCTCTCGGAGAGCTCAAGTGACCAGAATAGGGTTTAGGAACAGGATAAACTACAAAATTCTGAAATATGGCAATACAGTAATATGCAGCCAATTAAGGCACAGGAGGATGCCGAGATTGCCCAACAAGAAGAGCAGAACGGTCTGATCCAGGCGGGTTCTGTGTTTCAGGATGTTTTGTAGGAAATGGCTGCGGGCCTTTCACGGTCAGACTGCATCGGGGCTGATGCATGCCTCTCCTCCTTCACAAGTTTGTTTTGTGTCCACTTCGTGTGAGGGAAGCTTGATTCCAGCCGCAGCGATTAGCAACTTACTCTCATAGTCGTAGGATATTCTAGGGCCTAGGGTCATTCCGGTCAAGAAATGCCAACGAAGGCATCTGACTGCCACTGACTGCTGCGCTCCGTGCAATTTCCAGGCGCTCTTCAGCCAAGTGGAACAGCTTACAAAGCGGTTTACATTGCTGAGGCCTTCCTTGCAAAAGCAAACTGCGAGTTGATCTGTTTATTGCATTATAACAGCTTACGTACTTGCTGCAGGTACCAAAGCAGCAGGAGACTCACGAGATTTCGATCCATGTGAAGGGCGGCACTTAGCCACAGTCCATTCAGCTGCGGCACCGCCCAGTGGTCAAGGAGCTGTCAGCGTTCCGGTGATTCCGGCAGCATCTACAGGAGTCCGTTTCCAGGTAGCGGCTGAGCTCTCCGATGGGCGCAGCGCAGAGTTGGGCACTCCGAGAGGGGCCAGATCCAGTGAAGAGTCCATAGTGGGAGCCCCCCGAGAGCCTCTTGATTCTGTGTTCCCCTTCACTCCGACGATGACCGTGGCCCTGAACATGTTCTCAAGGGCTCCCAGTTCATATGACAGATGCTAAATTCAAACGCTCGAAAAAGAAAGGATGTGCCGATGTAAACAGGGCTACTAGGCCGCTGCTCTGTATGCTTGGGGCTTCTTATGGCCTTCTTCATTGTTGCCGTTTCCAGAGGGTGCTCAGATTTTGGGCGGCCACAACCGCCATCGCCCTGGACAGCCAAGGACCGACCGGACTCTAACACGCTTTTCTCGCTTTCTCCTTCTGTCTGATGAGCTGCAACGAAAGGGATACATCGCTGCCAGGCGGACAGCGGAATGTCCAAGAAGGAAAGTGGCAAGTCGGTGCTGGACCTGGAGAGGCTTGGGTGAGGGAAGGCCGCGTCTCTTCTCAAAATTCTGCTTGCCAGGTACTTGAACCAGCCCGTGAAGGTCAAGTTTTCGGGTGGACGAGAAGTCAAGGGCATTTTGAAAGGCCGAGCTTTCGGCTGCCCGACCGTGTAGGTCCACTTGCAGCGGTTTCGCGTGCCAGGACATGACGCTGTAGCAAACCTAGTGCTGGATGACGTCCAGGACCCCACGTGCATTTGTCGTGTTCAACATGTGCGTGTGAGTGTGTGTGTGTGTGTGTGTGCAACTCCTGTATCCAAGGATTTTGATTCTCTAAAGACTCTAAAGTATCTGCACTGATGCTTTGCATTGGAAGAAAAGCAAGGAGTTTGAGTCTCTAGAGTCTTTACATCATTGCCTTGTATATGAAGAGAAGCAGGGGGCTGGCAGCCTATTCCGTGATACCAGCCAACGAAGCTAGCGGAATGGGTGGAAGGAGCTATGGACGCATAGCTCTGTACCTGCAGTTTCACTCGCTGATCGATTTGCATCTTCAGTCTTATGAGCCTTGAGTCCAAAGCATTCAATTGTATCGCTCATCTAATGTATGCATATCCTTGAGATGAACCTGGAACCAAAGAAGATTTCTGAGGCCTTGGTATTCGAACTTAAGATAGTCTAGATGTGAAGATTTTGCAGCTGAGACAAGAAGTATCCACAAGAAGGAGAAAGAAGAAACATTACGAGACAACCGGCAGAGACCGGATTTCCATGTGTCTGTGTGTGTGATTGTTCTTGCCGCTGCGTACCATCAGGAATACCTCCGAGACCCAGAAGACCCTTACAAGGTGCCATCATCCGGTGCTGAGAGCTTGCCGCCGCTGGCCCCTCGGTGCTCACTTCCTGAGGTCTCAGACGAGACCAGAAGTCTTGGACTGGTGGTTGCACGTGGCACATCGGAAGCCGCCTCAGCATTCCACTCTCAGACTATGATGTTGATTTGCTCCTGCACTTCGAAGGTCATGCTTATTTGTCCGGTGGACGGCACAGAGGAGATTGCGAATCCTTTCGCAGGTGCCTAGGCCGTCGCCTCTGCACCCCGAGACGGTTTATTCGTTTCCGAAGCTCCTAGCCGCCCAGCCATTCAGGCAGAGGCAGGCTGTGCGATGACCCGGATTCTCTGAGGGAAAGTCCGGGATGTGCTGCGGACTGCCATGCGCAAGAGAACTATGTGAAACAGATGCTACGCAACTGGTGTATACAGAGTGACATACAGCATATATTTTATATTCATACCTGATTATGCAGACACACACACACACACACGAAGTTTAAAGTGGAAAGAAAGAAAACTCTGGCGTGTGCTTACAGTAGATATTGATATGTTTCGCTGTTTTTTGTTTGAAGAACGCGCGCACAACAAATTCCGATTCCAGCTCTGAGCAGAAACTGCGCCAATCTCAAGCCCCGCTAGGATTCGTCAGTGTGTGCTGCAAGCTATGCAGCGACACATAGTGCCGTGGACAGCCCCTTCGAACTGCGAAGTAAGGCTGTGTGTTACGTATATGCAGCAAAAGGGGAGTAATCACATCGAGCCGCGAGCAAAAGAAGGCCGACTGTAAATGTCGTTCTCACGTCAGTGCAGCCACGAACAGGCCAACTTCTTGCGGCACTTTTTTCTGGCGGGTTATGCTTAGGATAACGTGCCATCCTGCAAGGTGGAAGTGGAGTCGCATGAGATTGCTGCGAGGAATGTAGCCAATCTTGTTGCCGTCATGCTAAGTTATGAAGCTAGCTCAATCTTGGAGAGTCGTGGAAGCTATGTGAAGCCTGTGAGACCCTGCGGCCATGTCCAAGCAGAGCCAGCGGCATGCAATCCTTGAGCCTCGCAGTGCTGGCGCAGCTCGGCCGTGACATTGCAAGCCATTGACGCTGCCTCGGAGTCCTTTCTTAGGTCAGCTGCTGCAGAGGCACCACCGGGTGCGGTGCCCACGCGGCAGTGTGAGTGATTCCTTTCCTGGAATTGATTCAGTGGCTCTCCCGGGTCATGGTTCTGGGCTTCTTTAGGTACCTTCTTTGGGGACCGAGTCCTGGTATGCTGACTACGAGCTCAGATTCCGCCGGGCTCCAAACTCGTCCGCTGGCGCTGGACTACGCTAGACTCAGACACGGCTCCGAGTTTGTCGCTCAGGTCCTGAAGATGTTGGTGCCTGGAGCCCAGCAGCTGTGGCTCTACTTCGAGCCGAGCCGCCGAGCCTCAAAGGCTGAGCCAGTGCCATGGCGGATCTCAGCATGGCGGAGCCTGGCACGTTGAGAGCCGCCGCCGTGAGTCAGTCGGGGCACCGGCACGATAACAGGCAGTTCCAGGAAAACATCCTTGACTTTCACCGAGCAGGCCCGGATCTCCTCAAAAGGACTTGAAGCAGACGTGCTTGTCATTGTCTCTGCGTGTGCTGGTGACTTCGACTGGAGGCCGCCCACCGCTCAATGCAGCCCACTTCCTGGTTATGACGCTCCCGGACGAGACCCAGCAGCAGTGCCAACAGGCATGTTTGCTGAGCTATACCGCATTCTTGGACTCGAGAGTTCTTTGGTGTGGCAGGATATTGCAGGAATGCCCTGGGCTTCTTTGGACGGCGACGCTGCTCGTGGCTGAGGCCGAAGCCCAGCCCGGGGGCAGAGCGCGACGCTCCGCAGTCCGGCCTGAGCTCCGCTCCGAAGGCACGCCTCTCCGCCGGAGCTTGCTTGGAGGCACGTGGCCGTGGCTGCTTGCCTTTGGCACTTTGGGCGCAAAATGGCGTCTCTGGAGGCGGACAGTTTGGTGCAGCGACTGCAGGGATGGATGTCTCAGTCCGACGCTTCTTGCCCTCGAAGCCGGCAGTTTCGATTGCGCCTGCCACATGCTGCCTTCGCGAACTATGTGCAAGCCCATGCATGGGGAAGCCGACAGAAGCTTTCCCTTCATATACTTCGCTTGAGGAGCCTTCCTGGTCCTCGTCGGAGGCGATGTGGACGTCGCAAATCGCTCACCTGGCTCCTGGCTGGGGCTTGGAGGCGGCCGAAAGAGTGAGCCGAATCCTCCTGAGCCCTTCGACAATCAGAGGCTTCGGCTCATCGCTTCCGAGAAGCCCGGCATCTCTGCCCCGACCAAACGGCGAACCCAAGAGCGGTTCTTCGGAGGCGGGAAGAGCCCAGACCAGACTGCAGAGCAAGCGAGCTTCGAGCTTAGAGCCTAGATGTCTGTTTGGGTGACTGTGGCGCAGAAGCATCCTCCTTTCCACCAAGAATTCCACACGGCAGTGTGTCTCCTTGAAGCTGCGATGTGCGACAAGTGTGAGAGGGCGACCCAAAGATAACCAGCGACCGCCGCAGTTGTATCACTGCCAAGCACGCCCCACTTGGCCACTGCAAAAACTGCTACGCGAACTAAACAGGGTGCTGCACGCGCACACACACACACACACCATATCCTCAAAGCTCCGTGGCCTTCAGACACAACAGCAAGCGAGATACTCAGAAGGAGAAGCAACGGTCCGAGGATCGTTCAGCATCCACGAGGATGTGTAGACTCATGCAAAAAGTAAACGCAGACGTGTCGAATCAGTTATGCAACGTGAAGTTCTACTAGCATTACCAAATCTTTGTATATGTTTGTGAATGTCCATGCTCGTACCTAGACCCGATAGTACAGTCAGTCGCGTTGCAAGCAGCACGCATCGACGATGTAAGCATAAGGAGCATGCAGACTGTCGAGTGCGCCTGATGTCGCAAATCCTTGCGCGAATTCACCTGATGAGAGCCAGATGCGGCGGCGGCTGGCTCTTGCGTTCGAAATGGTCAAGCTGCTGTTTCATGTGTCCAGCCTTCGAGGCTTAACACTTCTAAAGGTTTGATTCGTCGTCAATCAGTACCGCTTGAGGCGAATGCTTGAGGCTCGCCATGATCAGACGAGAAATGTAGGGGACGGTGGGGACGGTAGGAGTGTGTTGCGCTGAGTCGAAACAAAAGTCTGCAGTTGGGTCCATCCCGAGCTTGCTGCCTCCGAACTGAAGCACAGCTACGTTGATCCCCTCGCTGCAGTAAACCGTCATACTTGCTGATGCTTTGCTCTCGTATCGTCTCTGGCCTTGTTCCGCATCCGTGCCACCATGACTTTAACAGCAGGTGTGAGGCTGCAAAGCTGGATGTTGTCGTCGCGTTCTGCAGAGAGGCGCGGCCCTCTGCTGCAGCGGCGAGTGCCCAAGAGCAAGCTGCTACTGCAGTGCAGCATGTTACTCACATGATTGAACAAGCAATTTCACCAAGTTCATACGTGTGAATCGGGTTAAAGAGCTCTAGACTCAGTAGACAGTCGGAGCAGTAGTCTCCGGCGGACGAGGACCTTAGCTGGCTCGTGGACTTTGCGGACGCAAGGCCAGCCTCCTCACTCTGTGAAGCGTTTGGGTTACAATTTGGCAAGTTGGTGCTGCAAGAAGGCTGTGGCTTTACTCAAAGTGCCCAGAGCCGGATCTGACGGGACTGGAAAAGCTGGGACTACCATGCGCTTGGGCCCCGACTGTCTGAACCATGAATTCTCAGCAGGTCATAATAATATCAAGAGCTGAGGTGACTTTGGAGCAGCTTCCGAATCTGGGCATGGAGTCCTTGGCATATGCCCGGCCCCCAACTCCCTCGTGCCTCCCGCTCAACTTCCTAACTTGTCAGCCCGTCGAGCAGAACAAGCACATGAGGCTGCGCATTTGGAACGGCGACACGGGGGCTATGCTGACTACACGACGCAACCTTACGCTGTGTGGCATGGCAGCCCTGCAGATGGCATGGGCCCTTCTAGCAAGCCTTGTCTTCAAGGATGTTTCTTCAAGGAGAGCCTTTTCAACACGCGCCCCGACCACTCCTTGGAGACATTCTCGCCGCCATACATGCACCTTGAAGGGCAGACAGCAGATGTTGATTATTGTGCGGGGCGAGAGCAGAGCACTGCCGCTGCTCTTCCGCTGTGGTGATCGTTTCACTGCCGGGTCAGATATATCAACACTCATCATATGCTTTAACTGCCGAGAAATATGCACATGTATAGCTTCAAACCGAAAAGTCTGGCGAGAGGTGTGGATCATCAGGAGCACAAAGGATGGTTACCGTTAGAATCCAGAAGTGGTGCTCACCGCCAGCACTCTAGTAAAGGGATTAACGTGCGCAGGATATTGAACCCGTTGAAGACACGGATACTGTTGTTTGTTGAAGTTAGCTGTCGGCAAGGAGCAGCTGTATCTATTGATGGCTCCCGCTCGCTTTCTTCGTACTTATGTACATAGGCGACGTAGATTTAACAGACTATATTACTATACATACGCTTTACTTACAGCCACTTGTGTAGATATATGTTGTGATATATGTATATATATACACATGCTTATACACACACATATACACTATTCTGTATGTATATACACACACGTACATGTGTGTTTGCGTTGGTTTTTGAGTGTACACACGTGCATATCTCAGGCATACGTTTGGACATAATCGTTATGTACGGTTCTATGTATGTACGTATGTATGTACGTATGCATGCACATGCATACGCATATCTGACTTATACAGATACACTTTTTCGTGTCATGTCGAAGTGACTGAGGCTGGCATCTACAATGTGCCGTTCCTCCACTTGAATGTGCGCCGCTTCCTCGCTGGGAGCAGCTTGTGTTTGAGGCGGAACATGGCGGAACCTGGCACATCCCGTGAAAAAGGAGCGGAGTTGAGAGACTTGTCTCCAGCTTTGTCTCGAGGGACCTGTACATGCGCCTCTTCGAATCTGAAGTTCCCGAGGCCCCCGCGAGGGGGTGGGGTGGGGGGCCCGTTTTGCTCGCCCTGTGCCAGAGACGGTGATGTGTTTGTGTGCTCCTTTTTGGTGTCTTTGCCTTTGGACAGGTCTTTGGTTCTTACTGCTGCAGCCAGCCGAGTGCTTACATCGTGCACGAGCGCGTGGAGTGATTCACTGGAGAACCACGGGTCGGATACCAGTGAGGTTCGTTGTCCGCTCTGATCGCCTACATCGGAGCCGAACTTTCTACCAGCGGATAAACAGTATCCTGCGGCTTGGGCCGGCAAGAGCAATTTCATATCAAAGCTGTTGTCCCCACAGGTCGTCGGTAATGTTTTCAATGTTTTTGTCAGACTGTATCCACATGTCTTTCAGGTTGGGTGAGATGCCTCTCGCTTGCGCACAGGACGATAGTGTCGAGTGAAGTTTGCAGGCAACTCTGACAAAAGAGTCTTCCGCATGCCATGTGGCAGGATGTCAAGTATGATCCTCGGCCAGGGATAGCCATATCTGCCCTGTTTGAGCACTTGACGCCTGGCTGCACAGATGATGTGGTTTATCATGGCTGCTTCAGGTTTCCCATTTTGCAGTGCTGCTTGGTGCGCAGGTGGCATGTTATCTTTGGTGAACCGGCAGTTCTGTCTGTTCGACGCAGCAATCGCGAGTGCCTTGCATGCAAGACGTGTTGGGCCGAGTCCATTGGAGTCCAAGTCCCGGCATGTCCCGGCCGAGGCTTCCACTCTTCGCCCAGCTGGATGTGGGCGAAGGGGAGCTTCCAGACTTCTTCGCCTGAGAGAAATCGAAGCCAAAGTGCACTGTGGCTGTAGACGGGGCGGTGCGCTGAGTGCCGTGGCCGGCTCCGAGCTTAGCTCAGGCTCAAAGTGCAGAAGCCGACAGTCGAAGGCATCCGAAGGCAGAAGGGTGATAGACGCACTCATAGTCATAAAGCTTCCCTTCTTGCAGTTCTCTGTTTTTTTCCCGTGGTTGGCCATGGCTGACTTTTTTCCATCGCTGGCCACGGCTGATTTGGCCACGGCTGATGTGGTCATGGCAGACGCACATTCAGAGAGACTGCTTCTCAATGCAAAGGCTTGGCCTCCAGAGTCTTTGCAGCTTTTCCGCAAAGTCCTTCAGAATGTCCTTGACAGTCCGCACGACCCCAAATTTCGCAAGCTGAAGCTCAGCAATGCCCGCATCAATGGGCTCCTCTCGGAGAGTGGAGCCCAGGAGGCATTCCGCGCACTTGGCTGGATCTCTACCGGAGATGCTCTGGAGCTTCCTGCGACAGCCAGCTTGGACATGACGACAGCGGTTCTGAAAGGCACGGAGCTGCAACCAGGTGATCCCATTGCCTTGACGGTCCTCCGCGGCGCTCTCAAATCGAGTCTCAGCTGAATCTCAGACCTCCACCGCTCTCGGGCTCCGGGCGGCTCCCCGTAAAGCAGTATAGGATGTGCAGGTGACGTGTACCAAGGAAGCTGGAGCTGCCTTGCAACACTCTCTTCAGTGGACTGGCTGCTGCCATCGAGCAGAGCGAGCCCTTGGGCCGAATTCCGCGGAAGAGACAACGGCTCTTGATTGGAGTCCCGCCAAAGCCTTTGCAAGAAAGCTTCCCGCACTTCGCTTCCATGACAATCGCGGAGCTAGGCTTGAAAGCTTTTAAGCTAGAGGATACCTGGGAGGAGATGGTGGCTGATCTACGTGCCACTCGTGCCAGCTTTGCATCGCTGGCCTCTGTTCTGGCTTGCAAGAAGACGCTTCAGGACAACTTCGAATTCTTGCTAGACTCTGCCAAATCTTTGCTGAAAGCACGCGCGATGGCTATGGATGCTGCTGAATTGAGGGATGCTCGCAGTGTTTTCAAAGTTCTCTGGCCACCGGGGGATCCAAGCACGAGAGATGCCAGGTTGGCACACTGTGCTGCTTGCACGCCCCTAGCAGCTCTCGCGAAGGAGGAGGACGGATCAGCAATCCAATTTCCACTCCGGGTCGAGAGGACGAATCTCTTCAGGAGCGCTCTTGAACAGATCTGCGAAGCCCCTGTGGCAGACCTGCGAAAGTCGCTTCAAGTGACTTTTGTGGGCGAGGCTGCTGAGGATGCTGGAGGCCCGCGACGCGAGTTTTTTAACGACTTCGGCCGGGCTTGCGCGGACGAGGCAGTATGGCAGAGGACTGCAGCAGATTCACTGGTTCCGTCTCCCTTCTCTGCAGCGGCAGACGTATTCCGTGGCTGTGGTCGAATCTTTGGGCTCGCCCTATGCCAGGCAGAGAATGCAGCGCAAGAGCAGCGAGTAAGGGCGAATGCCACGCTACAGGAGCTTCTAGCAGCGGTCACACAAGACGACGATAACCAAGAGCAGCAGCTGCAAAAGCTTCTGCTCGGAGCAACTCTCTCACGACCTTTCCTGCGGTGCGTTCAGGCCGATATCCCGGAGTCTGTAGAAGAGCTACAGGCTGAACTCAATGCAGAGCAGAGCGAAAGCGCTCCGGATTTCAGAGGCTCCCCCACTTTCCTGACCTCGCAGTTGAAGGACATCGGTTTGGAAGGGCAGCTGACCTTCAGCAGAGAGGTGCAAGGGAACACCGTCGATCTCACGGTCGGAGGCCGGGCCATCGTCGTGACCGATGCGACAAAGCTCGATTGGCTGCGAGCGGTCTTGAAACACGAGCTCGTCGAGGCCATCTCGGAGCCGGCAGCTTCCTTCAGACAAGGGGCCACTCGGACTGTCGGACCACAGCTGCATAGCTATCACCCTGCTGAAGTAGCCACCACCAGGTCTCGGAAGCTGCAGGGACGGCATACTTGGCGCTTCTGTCGGCAGGCGAACTGCAGAAAGCCCCCGTGCCTGCAAGTAGTCTTGTTCTTCGAGCGTGGATCAGACCTGATCTGCAGATCTGCACTGCCGTGAAGCTGAGGAGTGGTCAGGCCTCGCGCACGTCAGTGATGATGCGTTGAAGCTTTGGCAGAAGTGCCACGGCTTGCGGTCGGTGTTATGTGGTACCAGCAAGTAAGCGTCAACGTGTCAAGTTTCAAACGTACGGCCTTAAGGCAAGCGATTGTGAATCCGGTGCCCATGCTGCAAATTCTCTGGCCTTGAAGTTGAACTGACAGATGCTGGTCCGCGGATTGCATGCTGCACACTTTAGGCAGTTTAGAGAAGTGTTGCACCCTTTGCATGTCTCTACTGAGTTGCTCCACCCAATTCCACTGTGCTTACTGCCGACTGGTTCTGCAATGAGGCACGTGCACAGCAGGCCGCGTGGTTTTTCGAGATCTTGTGGGAGGAGCACGCGCGAGATGCCCGCCCGAGCGTGCTGAAGTTTACCACAGGCAGCAGTGCCCAGTAGACTTGTCTTTTTTGTCTCCTGACGAGCATGCGAAGTGTAGGCTTGCCCGCGTCATGCGGCAAGTATTTGCGAAGGCAGTGATCGGTGGCCTGTGGATTCCAAAGCCTTCACGTTCTACATAGAGCCCATGGACGGTGGTGATCTTCGGTTGCACAGCCAGAGATTGTGCATGAATGAACGAGCGACGGTTTCCTAGATTCCGCACTGTTCGATAGTCCGGGCGAGCGACGGCAACGAAACTGCTTAAGCATGTCAATATTAAGGGATGCCTTGCTTCGGTCTTCGCCCACCGATTGAATATAGTGAGGCCAGCACAAAGTCAATACAAGCTTGATGTTGGGAGGGTTAGGTCAGGATTGATCCAGACACCAGCGAGTTGCGTGCAGCTCAACATTTGCCGAGGACGATTTGCTGCCTCGAGCAATGACATGTGGGAACATGCTGCAACTTCCCCTCTACACCTCAAAGGACAATGGCACCTGCACCTGACACTTAGCAGCGCAAACTCGTTCAGTCTCAACTGCTTGAGGAGCGCTTGCAGAACCAGCTTCTGAAGGCCTGTGATATGGGGCTTTCCATGCAGCTTGTTTAGAAACGAACCCCGCGCTGAAAAGAACCCCAGGCCAAGCGAGCATGAGCCTGCCATCGTGTCCATACACAGCTGCTGGCAGCACATCTTGATGTTGCTGATTGATCGGCCACAGTAACTTCAAACTTGCCGATGCCTCGTTGTGGCCGTCTTGTCGAGGAATAAGGGTTGCGTGCGCCTCGCCATGGCAGAATGGGGCACATCTCAAGGTGCTCGCCAAGCCACAAGATTTTTCTGGACCTTTCGGATGATTTGGGCTACTCGTACCTCGGGTCGCGGACCATTTCACAAGATGTTTCTTCAGTCACTGGAAAGCCCCAGTCTGTGGCGCGAGCTGCGCTGAATGCTGTCGGTGGCAATCAGCATGAGGCCTGTGCGCTCTTGATGTCCGGATTGTCTGTGGCCGTAACCGGTGGCCCTTGTGAAGTTGCAAGCCTTGAGCTTGGCTCTCCAGCGTGGATTGGAGGTGAAGGAGTGGTTTCTTCCGTGGGCTCCTTTGCAGGCTCTTTCATGCTACGCTTCCCCCGTTACTGCCGTGAGCGGGTAGATCTCCTGAGCTTGGAGACAATCGAAGTCTTCATGATCGCAGCTTCCGGCACCCAGGGTCCACATTGGACTGCGGATGAAGAGCTCAGCAGCCCAGAGATCAGCGCGGCTCTGAACAGTGCTTGTCTTCAGCGGAAGACCTTTAAGCCTGGGCCTGTCAGTTTTTCCCTGGAGCATGTGGAGCTGATTCTCATCACGGTGGTAAGAAATAATGGATCCCTGCCTCCACGCAACAGCCATCAGTCGCCAGCACCGGCCGTAGATTCTTGCCAGACGCCACACCACGGGGCAGCGTCTATCGAATCTCGAACTTCTGGAAACCTTGCAGCGGCGAATCTTCAATGGATTGGCGACCTTGGTGCTGGATCCTTCGGCTCTGTGCACCTCGCGCGAACTGCAGGTACCGCGGTTGCAGTCAAGCGGGTACGAGTCACAAGTGGCCATGAGATGCGCGAAGTGCAAATGCTGCGGAAAGCTTCCCACCCGAACATGGTCAAATTCATTGACTCTTTCAGCTGGAACTCAGCCGATGGACAAGCTTGTGTGTGCATTGTCATGGAATACCTGCCAGAGAACTTACATACCAGAATAAATGGACACCCCCTGTCTGCCTGGTACGTTCGCCATTTCAGCGTTCAGCTGCTCACCGCCACTGCGCACCTTGATGCTCTGCAGATCTGTCATCGCGACTTGAAGCCTGAGAACGTACTCCTCAGCCAAGATGATGTGCTCAAAGTTTGCGATTTCGGTTCTGCTAAGCTTCTTGGCCGCGGGCCGTCTTGTAACTACGTTTGCTCTCGGTGGTGGCGGGCACCAGAACTGATTCTGGGCGCCAGAGACTACACAACAAGCATTGATTGGTGGTCATGCGGCTGCATAATCGCTGAGATGATGTCAGGACAGCCTCTCTTCAGAGGTGATTCGAGTTGGGGTCAGATGTATGCCATCGTACGCATCCTTGGGACGCCGACGCAACGAGAGATGCAAAGCTTGGTGCCGGAGCAAGGCGGACAGCGGCTGGCTCAGCACTTCGCAAGCCTCGTGAAGCTTCGTCGTTCTGGAAGGTGCCGGGGCCTGGTTGTAGTCAAGATTGCACAAGATGTGTGGAATGTGCTACAAATATGAACCCCCACGATTCTGGCAGGCCTTGGGCGGAGCTGCTTCCAGCGTTTGCACATCTGTCCAGCAGCCTTGCCATCCCGCGCAAGCTGCTGACGTACTGCCCGAAGGATCGTTGCCACCCGAGCATGTTGCTCTCAGCACCCTTCCTGTCGAGTCGAAGCGAAGTGAAGCTTCCCGGCGCCGTTAGCGAGCCAAAGTCAAAGAGGAGGCACCAGGCTCAGCAGGCCTACCTCGTCGAGCGAAATCCCAAACGAAGGTGCTTACTCGTTTCGGCTTGAAGCCGGAAAAAGCAGACTCAGCAGACTGCACGTTTACACATTGACATGCCGACTTCCGAGATTTACAACGTGCCACGCATTGTGCCATCGCAAGCGTTTCAGAATGTGTCATCACATCCCAACACATTGGGTTGGCTAGCATACAAGTCGGCCTCGGTGTGTGCACGTGTCTACAATGCCAGCATCCCGTGCTTCCGAGCTCCAGTACAGAATGGTTCGGCGAGCAAAGTGCTGCAGACGGAATGTTCATTCGTGTGTAAGGATGCGGACTATTGAGATTTTGTGCTGCAACGACGGTCTCCACAAGCCGAGCAGCTTACGGTTCAAAACAGACCTCGGTGTAACACAGCTGCATTGACTCCGCGCACTACATCCCCCACCGCAAACTACCGTAACTATCGTAGGTTTCCCACTGGCAGTTGACAGCACGGCATGACTTTGCTCACTTCCCGCCTGTGCTAAGTATGTCATGTCCTTCTAGCGTAAGTATGCTTTGCGCTTTTCCGCCTTGTTCACGCAAAACTTCGCCGTCCGCCTCCACGAAACACCTTCCCCGGCTCGGTAGTTGGAAAGAATCGGACTTCGAGGTGCAGCTGGACACCAGAGTAGGGCTAGTTGTCTACGAGACTTCCGGAAGGCAGCGCGAATTTCAAGGTGGGGTTCGAATCTGTGTTGTCGGAACAGGATTGTGCAGGGACGACGGCCGGATTCAGAAAATGAATCCGCTCTTGATCGTATTTGAATGCAATTGTGCAGCCATCTGGCTCACCAGTTGAATGCGCTTGAACCAAGTCTTCTTGAAGTCACAACCGCTGGAAGTTGGAGGCAACCGTGACGTCTTCGGCACAGATGGTGTGGGCCTAGCAAGGGGGCTCAGCAGCTAGCCCTAAGAAAAGTAGATGCATGAATGGGCTCGCGAGCTGCACATGGAGCCTACCAGCCCGGCATCACCGGCATCAGCCTGGAAGCATAAAACTGAGAGGCGCGCGACGGAATTCAGCATCAGGGCGGGCGGGGGCGGGGGCGGGGTTGGTTGCCTGTAAGGTACGGTGAGGTCTTCCGTCAGGAAGTTCGGCAGGTGATGTCACGTGTGACTGATGGTGCCGAGGCCTGGCACCTAGGATTCGTGATAGAGGAGAGAGCTTGCAGCATAATGAGAGAGCTGCCGCAGCATTGAATGGCAGTGAGTCCTTCGCTTCCTGTCTTTTTAACACCTTCCGCAGCATCACAAGCTTCTTCAGCGGCCGCGTGGCTGTGCCGAGACTGCATTGACTGCATCATCTTCCCTGATCCGCGCCAAGAAGCTCGCGCCCCGAAGCAGCCCTTCGAGCTTCGAGTCAGCCACAATGATTTGATGCCGTAATTTAAGGCAATGGAGGGAGCCGGACTCAGTACTTCGTTGCATCACGTTGACTCGTTGCCTAGAAGCTGGAAGTGGCACGTGTGGATGGGGGTAGGGGGTAAACGCCGCCAAACACCCACGAGTCTGAGACAGTGGGAGCAGCACAAGGCCTGTATGCGTCCTGAGATCAGGTTGTCCACACCTTTAGGAGTGGCCTTGCCGAGCCACTCAACGAGCTCGACTGCTACAGGCCACCCGGCACAGGAATTGTGCAGTCAGGAACCAATTCATCTTCAGCTTGTCTTCCAGTCCGCCGGTGCCCCGTCAGTCCTGTTGCCGCCGGTCGTGCCAGGAAGGCTGCTATGACCTTGAACGAGGCCCGGCAGGAAACTGCGACCGCGGATCACACCGACGCTTTTACTGCCCGTGGTCATCTCCTTACACATCCCCTGGCAACACTTGTATACACGACTATGTAGGTCAATCACTGCCATCTGTAGCAGAAGCCAGAACCGAGCAAGAGCGGGCACACGTGAAATTCAAGCCCTCTCCGTTCAAAAGCCCTTTTGCACGCGCATGTCTAGCCTCGAGGCAACAGGGGCCACGAGAGAATGGATCGTTTGGGGCAGAACTCTTAGAAAGGATCGAAGGCAACGATCGTCTGGAGTTGGGCAGGCGATTCGTTTGCGCGGCTTCCAGCAGCCTCCAAGCAATCCGGCCGCCTGGTACGCCTACAAGCACAAAACAAGGCCTGGAGTGCGGAGTGCCAGCGAGCTGTTGCTTCGTGATTGGAAGTGGTGCTAGGTTGGAGAAGTGGGCAGCGCCTGCAATCTGGACGTTGCTCCTCCTGGGCGTCGTCGAGACTCCGCTGTGGTGGGAGCCCAGTTGCAAGAGGATGCGGTTCGTGCATCAGTGGACAGGTGCAACAGCAAGCTCGGCTCCACAGGAGGCATCTCTGAATGACTGCAGTGTAAGTTCTCCTGACGTCTCCTGTGCAGGTTCTTGCCCGGCTGGTGAAAGCCCCGAATTCCTCCTCAGCGGTTTGCTATACCTTCCCGTCGCTTGGGCTGTGGCAGTCTCAGGCAAGTACATATCCTACAGGCTGAGTTCAGAATAGGCCAGCGCGATCACTGGCAAGGTGGGTGTCGAGCTGTCCATCCTGACGTTCCTCTTGGTGCACTTCGTGCTTGAGCCTCGCAAATTTGTGGCTCTTTGCCTTGCGAAAGCTACTTCTAATTGCGACAGCAAGCTTCGAGGGTGCATCTGCGGCTATTCAGCGCGATGAAGGGCTACGGTGGCGACCTTGAAGTGCACAGCACATCCGGTCTGTGTAGTGGCCGGAAGCCCAGGCCACGCCACGACAGCAGGCGCCCACACAGCTTTGCATTCGGCACTGGACTGCCATCCGGGGTTTGAGGGCAGTGTGAAATCGCATCGCAACTTGCAACACTTGCGGCAGGCGGTGGTGTGTGTCTCGCCGTCAGGCAAATTGCTCGTTGAGGGAACGTTGATCGCTTTGAGCTACGTGGTTGCCACCTGAGCATTCTCTCGGCTGGGACGGTTGGATGGTTTCGAGCGCATGGCGCAGCATGTTCGAAATCAGATGAAGCATTCCCTATCCTTGTGCTCCGGACCTTGTCGAGGACTTGGCTTCCTTTGTCGCCGGCTCGACGATGCGCGTTGCGCCAGTCCTCAGGCGCAACTGTCAGAGAAGCGAGCTTGTCTTGTGGTGGTGAGACGGTGAAAAAAGTCGACTGAGCCATGTCCAGACTGCAGTCAGCACGTGTCAGCACCACTCAGCACCAAGTTGTCTAACTTGAATCAGGCATGGGGTGTTTGACGTTTGACCTTCGGTCTTTGCCAAGACCAGCCGAGTCTGCCGTTGCTCCTGTCACGAAGCTGCCATCCGGGGGTATGCCCGTCCCGCACAGAATGATATCGTCATGCGTTCCCTTCGCACCCTGGACAGAAATTCGCTGAGTGAAATCTGTGGAGTAAGATCCGAGTACAGAAGTCATCTGCAATACGTGCTGCAGCTTCCGTGGTTGCATGCTCTGACTGCTAATGTGCCAGGTTTGGCCTCGCGGCGTGTGCAGTGCCACGACTGCAGGCTCGGGGAAGCTCTGGTTGATGTGGATAGTACGTGAACCCTCAGCCCCTGCATTCGGCAGGAGTTGTTGCTGTCCTTCATTCGGACTACAAAAGCCGTGAGCAAGGCGGCATTTTGTAGCTGTGACGCCCTCAATTTCGATTCCTCAAACTCTGTCCAGGTTGGCATGTTTCTGGTTTACACGGTGCTCCTCTTTGCTTTCGTGACTGCTTCCACCTTCGATGATGTCGAGGCATGCTGCCCGCGTTAATTACGGACTCTCGCCCTCTCTCACCCTCTCTCTCTCTCTCTCTCTTTCAACCGGCTCGCTCTCTCTGGTTCTAGCTCTTTAAGTACTCATGAAACACAAGCAGAGATCATCGTCGGCTTTATGCAGTGACGCTTGGAAGCAGAAATAGACTATGGGTGAGAGGGATGATCTTCATGATGGGCATGAGAGTGCTGGTGATGATGAAGATGCCGGTGATGATCATGACGATGATTACGGCGACAGTAACCGGTAACCGTGACCCTTGTGGTGGTGGTGGTGGTGGTGGTGGTGGTGGTGGTGGTGGTGGTGGTGATGGTGGTGGTGGTGGTGGTGGTGGTGGTGGTCTGGTTAGTTAGTTTTCATGATTATGGTGGTGATGTTGAGGAGGATGATGATGACGATGATGTCGATGATGTTGCTGATGATGGTGATGGTCTTGGTGATGGTGATGGAGGTCGTTACCTGCTGTGTTGTTCGGCTTAGCCGGAACACACCAAGCCAGAAGCCTTGTTCTCGCTCGTGTGGCTGTCCCTTCACAAGAAGCAGTTCCGCCCTGCGCCCTGACGTCCAAGCTTGCTCTTACAGTCTTGTATACAGCATCTTGCAGCTTGCAGATTTTCTGCCGCCACATTCAGGACAATGATCCGTTTGGCACTCCTGCGAATACAGGCTTTACATCGTCGCTGCCCCAAGTCTTGCGAGGCAGTCGTCGGAGCTGGTGCCATAAAAGATCAGGTTCAGCAGCGCGGTGTACACGTGCTTCGCAGCTCTGACAACAGCAACACTGCCGGATGCGCTGGTGCTCCTCTGATTCCTTGAGTTCAGTGCTGGGACTGACCACGCATTCACTTCCTTGGCCTTTCCTGAGGTGCCAACATACAGCACAGAGCGGATGTATGCTTTGATCTGGACACTCTTGCAAGCTAATCGGCAATTGCTTTTGGTCGGTGCAAAATGGGGCACGGGGAGGATACCCTTCATCTTCATGGGGTCGGTGCTCCTGAAGCAGGTGCGATCCTCAAACATGGAACCGACCAGCCTTTAGAAACCTGAGCAGAGGTCATCCTGGCTGGTGTTTATACCGACTACAGCCAGAATGCCAAGATCAACTTGATGGAAGGCAGGTTGAAGGGCAACTGACAAACCCCCAACATCCCCCAACCAAGAGCTGGCCTGATGCCTAGCCTGTGGCAGTTCTGCCGTAGGTCGCAAGCGTCGGCAATCCGGCATTGAGTCCGCCTTTGCTTTGCTGTCTCCTTGCGGCAATCAGTGTGCACTCCTGATTTGACTTCAGCTTGCACCCCGGCAGGAAAACGGCAAAGGAAGAGAAGGGCGCTGCCGTGAGGCTGCGGTTCAGCGAGCTCACTGCATGCCCAACAGCCCGAATGCCAGCAGGTTTAATGATTTCGAGAAGCTGGTGGACGCCATGAGTGTACTGCTTGACATGTCGGGGACGAAGGTGTGCCGTTGTCAGGTCGTAGCCGGGGCATGAGAGTCTGCTCCGGGTCCTGTGGGTCTCAGGAGATGCTACGAGTCATCTTCCAAGCCTTGGACGACAACCTGGACGGCGTCTTGGACTGGTCCGAGTTTCAGGACCGCCGCCTGCAGCGCCCGCACCAGCTGACAGCAAATTCCAATACTTCTCTGCAGGAGATGTGCGATGTTCTTCAGCTCCGAAGCTGCAACGATCTTGCCTGCATCGATCGGTCCAGCCGTCTAGCCTGCAGATCGCATCGAAGCTCTGGTGCTCAGGTTTCAATTCGACATCACAAAACGTGATGCACCTTTGAAGGAATGCCTGACCGGCACATCCTTGGGGAGGTGGAAGGCCTAGCGATGTCTAACCGTTATCTACAACTCTGTGCTGAACATGGAACTTGCAACGCCGAGGTGGATGAAGAAGCTCATGGAGAACGGCTCAACTGGCTTGAATTTAGGCGCGGAAGGTTGGTGCAGAGCGAGCAGCTTGACCGGTCCGGAGAGCATGCAGGCTATGCGTCGCGATATCCGGGTTCCACCATGGACGTGGCCAGACTCCCGATCATTTTGGGGGATCAGGAGCAAGACGGGACAGGACAGAGACACGGCCTGGTGACGATGCTGAGAGTAGCCGTGTTCGGAGTGGTTTGGTGGGGGGGGGAATTCACGGGAAGGGTGAGGTTCGAGTCTGTATGCTTGCGGACCGTGCCAAGGTCATGAACACAGTGGTCACCGCCAATGTGTTTTGGGTCATGTTCGAATCCATCATCGACATGAATGACATCAAGGAGTTCATGGAGTCACGTCTTGCTGCTTCCTGCTGGCCTCGGCGAACAGGAGCCGGCATGGGTAGTCAATGTGGACCTCTCGTTCTCCTTGGTCTACATGTTTGAGGCATCCGAAGTGACTTGTTGAGCCCGTGTTGAAGCTCTGAAGCCGCCCCTGAAGCCCATGCTCCGATTCCTGAAAGAGTACTGGCTGGACCCAGGCTCTCCTGAAGCTGTCCTACTGGTCCTGGGAGGAATACTGGTTCCATTCCGACAACAGGCAGGTCGCTTTGCATTCTGGCCGTCTCCACACCAACTATTGCATACAACATCATGGCATTTATACGCGCGCGAGTTATGCGTCTCTTGTGAAAGGTTTGACCTGGTTACCAGCATCATCTTGAGTGGCGCCCCGCACTTGGATCAAACGAATGTTTGTGAAAATTCTCTTGTAGTCCGTATTGTCGTAGTAGGCATGTAAGACCTTCACAAGATACTACTCAGCTTTAATCTGTAGCTTTCAGAAGCCAACTGCTGCTTCTGCGGTGATATCTCCAATCCGAGGTGGCTGTGGTCTTCCTGACGGTCCGTCACATCTCGGTTGAAACGCTTCGCAGTGCCAATGTGCCTTCTCTATCATGAGTCATGAGGGGTGCAGCTACTGCCGTCCCAGGCTGAAGCTAGACCAGGAGTCGTTTTGTATGTGAGACCGCGAGGTGCTGCGACTACTCCGAGTCCTGAAGGCCCTGAAGCATGTCAAGACCTACAGGCGCACAAGCATGATTGCCCGGACCCAAGCGTGCAAGCAAGAGACCCTGAGCATGAGAATCTCACATAGCCGGGGGTCCTCCGACTGTGACCCTGTGAGGTCAGTAAGCTCTTCAGCACTTGTCGCGAGGCCCAGAAGCACAGAATTCTGGCATAGCACTGCGACGCTTGTAGCAGGGGCCAGGGAGCGAGCCGCAGCGACTTCGCACTACCCGGAAGGTTCTATTACTGAACGCGCTCGTGGTGTTGCTCTGGGCCTCCATTGGAGCGATTCCCTCAGTCCTTCCTCACAAGGCGGAGCATGGCGGAGCCGTTGGTATACTGGGCTCAGGTCGAAGTCTTCGGAGGTCGCTTGGTGCCTTCGAACCCCAGACTCTCAGAGGACTTGGGGTACTTCCAGAACCACTACCAGGCAGCACTGGCTTTAATACATCTTCTTGGCAGCGAATATTTGTTTGGCGGGGTTGCTTGGCAGGTGTTGAACTTTAACGACGTGCCGATGGGGATGATGACACTTTTCGTCGGGCCCCGTTTCATGTGTTTCTGATCATTCCCTGTTAGATATCTCTTTCTGCTTCTCTCCTTGTCATACATGTTAAACACTTGGAGAGTGCCGCAGAGACCTAGATGTGGACCCTGGGCGAATGGAATGACGACCTGGCCACTGCGTGCTTGGAGTCTTGGCTTGCGATGAGTGATTGCAAAGGAAGGGTGGAACGATGTTTGCTGTCGTCGTCGCGCAGTCAGTGGCAGCACCCTCACGGACTCGTCGAAGTAGCTGCGAATTCCGTCGAGACTCCGGACAGGGTGCAGCAGGGACTCGCAAATTATGCTCGAGCATAATCCACTCCCTGTCCGTCAGATGTACCCAGTTGGGCGTCACAAACCAGGCATACTAAGGCCTATGCAGTGACCACTAAACAACCAGAGACACCTGCGTCTCACACACTAAAAAGAATAAAAAACCAGTCGGCGGCGCACACACCGCCTCACGTTGTGCCACAGGAACACCTAATACCTCCAACGGCCTAAGCCAAATCCTAGCGGGGAGAAGGCAAAGGCAGGCCCGGGTACCCCAAGCAGGCCCTAAACCCCAAGACAGAAAAGGCAAAAGGTCACTAATGCAGTCGTCTCCAGGCGGCATCCTCAAGAAGCCTCACTAAACAAAGCCTCGCTGGCTTCCTATGTTGATGAGTTTTGCAGGGGCAAAACAGACGTTCCTAAAAACACCAAGGGCCTAAACCGAAAGGGCGGGTCAAGGCAACCACGGCAGCCCCCAGAAGCCCTAAAAGAAACGAAAACTACAGCATTAAGGCATCGTTGCACTGCGAGCAGAGATGATGCCGCCCCGAAGGAACCAAAGTTCACGCCCCGAGATTGTAGCACAGGCACAGGACATCCCGTAGATGAGAACTGTACGTGCAGCACTGCCAAAAGCATGACTGGCTTCGCAACATGCTCGGAGCCTCCCCTAAGGCTGTCTAAGCAAATGAGACAGCGACGAAAAAGAAAAACACTTCCATTAGTCAGTAAGAATATGAATAGGCACTTTCCACTTCCAAGATGTGAATGCTTCGGACTGCATGCGTAGCCAGGTCAACATGGCATGAACTCTGGAGGGTTGTCTGAGCTTAGGCCTTTGATTAAAGCCTACCGCCTGTTTAGGCAAATTAAACGCCGTAAGATGACTCACCAGAGCGTGCGTCGCTGGAGTTGCCGCAACCTGCGGCGTGTACTGCCTGGGCAAAAGCCTCACAGCAGAAGCGAAAGCTGATGTAAAATCTGCACAAGTTTGCAAGGCCGATGTTCTGCCACTTTTCGGATTCAGGAGAACTGCACCTCCTGAAAAGGCATAAAAATCACAAAACAGCTCAAACATGCTGATCTTACCTTGTGTCGTCCACTCCAACTGCTGAAAATAATCATGCAAACTGTCAAGGGTCGCTTGAGGCAGGTGCCAGGAATAACCAGCAGCCGCTCTACTCAGAGCCGTTACCCCAAGCTTATGCACCTGTAAACCCGGAAGATCTTTCCAGGCATAATAGGGAACTTCTTGTCGACATTGTTTGACGTGCTCAGCCTTCGGAACAAAGTGATCCAAGTCGATTCCAGATGCCTGGTCAACCAAACGGCCATTTGAAGATGAGACGTCCAGAACCGGTGCACCTGACTCCCTACACACCTCATCTTGGTCGTCGTCATCGCCTTCATCCGGCACTTTTCCTTTGACAACTTCCCATCTTTTGTTAATTACCAACATGTTGTGAAGTTGCTGCACGACACACACCCTTATGTCATTTTGAAGGCTTTTGACAAACTGTTGTCCCCCAACTTGCTGGACAGCCCTTTGCACAGCGCGTTTCGCGGCTTTGTCTGCGAGGTCGTTACTCAAGCGGTCGTCCTCGTGTACGATTCCCATCCTCACGTCCTTCTCCGTCGTATGTGACGGTATCCAGACGGCGCAAACAGAGACTGAAAGCTGATCAAGAGCATGTAGCGTCTGGTGAATCTTTTCCCACAGATCATAATGAGCCTCATCATGCCTGACCTCACCTTGTGGCAAACGCAACTTTTGGAAACGTTTTACAACCCATTGACAATCGCATTTGAGAGTAACCTCGCCCGAGACTCGGAGACTGGTAGCAACTTCCAAAAGCTTGACCGCAGACTGTTTGATTGCATACACTTCTGCCCGATCTGAGCCTTGCTGGAGACCCGGCACGATACAGCCGTAGGTTCTGGGAGGCGCTTGTTCAAAAGTCGCATGGTACCCCGCACCTGCCAGAGTGGCATCAGGAAACTGGTTGTTGAGCGTGGAGCCATCGGTATACAAAAACTTCGGAAGCTCTTGCCACCTGGCATTGTTACGGGGAGTGACCACCTCCAGCAACCACTTGCGCCTGTGCTGCACCCATTCTGGTTCAACAAGCACGGACAAACATTGAAACGCAGGCGTCTCCAGCCGTGCATCAGGAGATCGCTGTTGCACGGAGCGACCTACATCACCTTCGGGATTCCACTGCTGACATTGAAACATGTGGCACGGCGTTTCCCTCGTGTGCTGGCACCCAGGACACATGTCAGAGTCCCACAACTGTGCCGCAGCTAACCGATCAGCAGTTCTGGTACTGCCTGACAAAACTTGCCTCACGCAGCCGCGGACATACTGAGGAGTGGGCTGAGTGGGGTTAAAATTATCAAACTCTTGCAACGTTTCAGACAAGGTCTTATCACTACAGCGCAAAAGGTGACCTACCGCAGTAATATTCGGATGTTGTCCAAGAAGGCCCTCAGTATCCTTGCGCTTGGCCACGCGCTGGAGCAAAGCAAAGCGTAGGGAACGCCTGACTTCATGTTGAAAGAGACTCTTAGGCCAAGAAAGCTTGATGGGGATGTCGAGGTCTCGGTTCCAAGCCCACTCACTAACACCCGAAAAACCCCACCCCAGTTCCTGAAACACTTGGCGTACAGTGTACAGAGGCCCAGGGCACTGGAGAGCTTTGTCTGACGACAAGAGCTTGAGAAGAGTATCACAACCCGGCAGGCCTGACATCACAATGCTGCGAAGTTGGGAAAGAATTGTGTATGCGACCACAGAGAACGGGTCCAAACGATGCGTACGGTAAGCACAGGCCATCAAAACGTGAGGTTCCCTCAACTTCTGCTGACTGGAAAAGACTGCTGCCAGCACCGCTGTGCGCAAACGGCACAGCATGTCCTCTGTGGGACAAGCAATGATGACTCCATGCAAAATGCTAGGGATCACTGACACCTCAACTATGGAGGTCCTCTCGTCTTTTGTGCCGGGGAAACGCGCAACCCTCTGAAGTCGCTGGATCTGCGGCTCGACTCGGGCATTAGCCAATTTGGAAAACCCTTTCCAGGATGTGGGAATAATCACCCCTAACGACATGGCATGCAACACGACCTTGCCTTCTGGTGGCAAAAGTTTAGCTGCAGCCTTCCGCGCTTCAGTAGTACTACCAAAGCCACTGCATTTTTTGCCATTCACCTGCTGGCCTGAGAGCTTATCGAAAAGCTTGAACTGCTGGCACGCCGCTTCCAGCTCCCTAAAGTCACGCAATTTTGATCTGAGTTTCGAATCATCAAGGAAAAAATTTACGATGACAGAAGGAGTAGCATTGGAAACCCTTCTGGCAAGGACACCAAACATGACGTTGCAAATGAGAACCGAAATGCAACAACCTTGTAAAAGAGACTGAGACTCCCACCAATTGCCAAAGCTTTGACCGTATCGAAAAATCCGGCACATTGACCCATAGCGGGCAGAAAGCAGGGAAACGAAACGGGAATCCATCCTGAGAGCCTTCAACACGGGTAACACCATGTCTGCTTTAAAAAGATCAAAACATTTTCGCCTATCATGCGTTAGGCCTAGCATGGGCGATTTTCCTTCCATGCTCTGTTGCAAGAAAATGGCCTGGGGCACTTCTGACGTGATCACGCTGCGACCCTTCAGTCCACCATGCAGCTGAGGCGGCACAACCCTGAGCATCCATGTCATGAGCTGTCTGTATCTGCAAGACATGTAAACACTAACCCACATACTCACAAGTGAAATGGGTCGGGTGCCACCATCCGGCTTGGGAAGTAAAACCGTAATGACATCATTCATACCATGAGGCCAGGAGGAGGCGTGACTATCTTCCATAGCCTTCATGAGAGTAAGAAATCTTTGGTGCACGGAATCTGGCAACCTTTGGAGCTCAAGCGTTGTCCATCCATCTGCCCCGCCTTTGGTTAGCGGATTCTTTGCTTGCAGAACGTCGCGGAACTCTGCAATCGACACCTCAGGAAGATCACACGGGCAGTAGGCTTGCTGAATTTCGTGTTGATACTCAGCCAAGAAAGCAGCAGCCGGCGGAGATGGGCTCTGATGAAAACGACTCCACTCTGCGAGTAGCAACTCATGGATTCGTGATGGATCAGTAGCGAAAGCTGCACCATCCTGAAGAACAGAACAAGGCGTTTGCATTTCAGCCTGGCTAATCCATTTGGTAACATGCTTTTGACTTTGTCTGAGCCACACACGCCTGTTGTCAACACGCGCTTTTCTTAAGTCTGCCAAGATTTGGTCAAAAGCCTTCTGCGTCTTGTCTAGTGCCCCTTGCCAAGAACCCTCTTTAGCAAACTCTACCCACTCAACACCTACCGCGGACATCCACGTGACCTGATGCTTTTGTGGCACCCGTGCCCGTGTCACAGGCTCACCTGCACATACACAGCTTTTGAGGAACCGCCTCAAGTGAGCCACAGCCTTGGCACGCGCAGTAACACAGCAACCTTCCACAAGTTTAGGCACTCGCGGTCCGTACTGAAACGTAGGAGTGGCCCCACGTGGTTGCTTACAATGCCCATGAAGCGCTTCCCCATGCAGTTTTAGACACGAGAACGCATGCTGATTAAGAATATTCCAAGCACTTTGAAAATCTTTATTCTCAAGCTTAGCAGAAAAACTGGAATCAACCGCTTGCCACAAATCATCACATGCAGTATGGATGCCATTCAGAAAACGCTCACGGTCCT